TTTTTTCCTAATTTGCATACGGGAATCTCGAGCCAATTAAATATTTTTTTGGAAAAATTATGTAAATCAACCATGTCAAAAGGTTAGCTGAGTTTATTAAACATGATTATTTGCTTATTCTAGGTGGTTTACGGATTCAAATCAAGCTTTTTTTAAATAGGAAAATCAGAATATCGAATTTCAAGGTATAGAATTTTTCCCGGAGCTTTTTAAGTAGGCTCTTTTTCACCCTTTTTAGTCAATCAGAATCGGCATTTTAAAAATTGGACATTCCGACGTGCTCCCAATTCGTAAAGTCAAGTACGTACGATCCGTACCCCCCTCCCCCACTAGCTGTAGGCTGGCTGTAGCTAGCAATTAGCCGCTACAGGGTAACTGGTGGGGCTGAGCGGGAGGTCTGGACAGTATGTGTGTGTCTGTGTGGCTGACGATCTTATCATCCTCCAGCCCTCCAGCTCCCCCCATATATGGCCTTCAATTCATCACACAGCGTACTGAACGAAGGGCCTTCCACCCAGCGCCCCCCTTCCATTCCAACATCCGTTATATTTTGGCGCGCCCCCCGGACGGTACCGCTCGATTTTTGCACTTTTACTGTGCTGATTACAGTCGCGAATTTTTGGGGGCCGCAGCTAGTGTATTTGTCAATTTTATTTTGTGATTGAGGATATTTTTTTGATATTCTGGCTACACTGTCCCTTTAAAGTTTGTTTTTACGGTTAGATTCTAAATTTTGCTGACTGTATTTACCAGGAAATACCCTTTAAAATTTGCTAATTAACCATCAATGAACCAGCGCTTAAAACTATGAAAAAATTAACTGTAACCTTAAAAAATTTAGTTTTTGACTTTGGCTACGTTTGGTTTTATACTTAATTAACGGCTATAGTCCTTTATACAACTATGTAAAATTTTCAAAAAGTCGCGCATTAAAGAGAGCGACAATTTCGGCTTGAGAATCCTTTTAAAATGGCCCTAAAACTTTTTTGATTCGGGTTTTATCCAAAGTTCACGCGTCGATCTATTTTAAACAAAACCCAAAAATTAGCGTCTACTCTATTTTCTCATTTAATTCTACAAAATCGATACCTCCCCCTTGAATCCAATCGATTTGTGTTCACGTCCACATGGTCAGCGTGAGAAAATGGGTGAAAGATTCCGGTCCCAGAGCGACCTCTCGGCTGCCAGCTCCACCTCGTCCTCCTCAAGAGTTCATTCACCTCTACCCCAATGCCATACCCCCGCAGGGCTCCCCCCTTCATCGTCCATTCCAATGGCACTGCTGCACTTTCTGCCCTCCACTGCGCTCCTCTTGACACTTTCATTAAAAGAACATGTTTACCTTCGAGAACCCGGGCAGCGCTTTGGGCGCCGCGCCATTGTTTCGGCGCTGTGTTTTTTTGGGTTGTTGACAAATTTGGGGTGGTTTTAAGGGGGTCATCATAATATCTATGTTTGCTAGGAAAAAGCGTGGAATTTTTGGGGTTATAACTGCTTTCTTAGGCTTGAAAACGGCTCGCAAAAGCTTAAATTATTCGCAAAACTAGTAATTTTTGCCTTGAAGCGGCCAACAATCAAATTTTATTGTTTTCATTATTATACGCCCCTAGATTTCTATTTGACTTTAATTGTTGGTGATAGATAACTTTTTCCAACTTTTTTTTGTAAAATCAAAACCACCAGAAGCTCCCTCGCTAATTTTAAAGGGAGAGGCAAGTCGATTTTTCGACCGTTCGGTCAATTTTTACGACTTAAATCAATCGATAAATCCTAAATACCTCTAAAACAAAATCAATAACCCCCACACCCTGTTTTTTGGTCGACATTTTTGAGACAACCCGACACATCGAAGTGATTCGAGTGGTCAAGCCCCCCCCCGCCGCACCCACAGTCCCCCCTTTCCTAATTACTATCAATGAAAGGAAGGACTCGCGGAGCCAGAGGTGGAGGAGTGTGAGCAGTGATAAGGAGAGACAACCCGAGAGTATGAGCAAGAGTATAGATACTGGAGGCAGAGATGTCAAAGACGAAGGGGAGGGGCCGACTATTTTGGCAAACCGGTTCGGGTCTCGGCACGATTGGACGGGAAGAAAGACGATGGACAATTCTCGACCAAGGGCTCTCTCTTTCTCTCTTTCTCCTGCTCTGGGTTCTATTGGTTGGAGCTCCCTTTATTTTTGATCTCTACTACCTCCAAAATCTCGTCGATAGGGGGACCGCCCATCTTTTCTAGTTGGAGATACGCATCGATTCTTTCCACACCCCCCCCTTTAGCTTTGAATTCCGGGGGCCAATGTCGGACCCATTGGTTCTGGCCCAAGGCGATCGGCTCTACTTAATACCAAAGGTATGTGTGGGAGTATAGGTGGTGATTTGAATACAGTAACCTTGTGTATTTTGGTTGAGCTTTTTTTTGTACTTCCTCATTGGACCATAAGCGCTGTTTCCTATTCTTGTCTCTTCTGGAAAATCTGAATCTAATAGAATCGCATTTTGTAAAACCGTTTAGTCTATTTAGTCACTTAATCTGTTTCTTTAGTCATATTCACCTTGAACCTTGTTTTTATTTTTCTATTTCTAGTTAAATTTCTTTGTTATAAATAAAGCTTCCCTTAAGCCTCTGCCGCTTTCTGTTCCAAATTATGAAATTACAAGTTACAAAGTTGCATTTCGCTACTTTGCCCTTTTCCAAACTCCTTTGAAGTATGCTAATTACTATTTTGCAATTTAAAGCAAATAGATGCCTTATGTTTTTTGCTAGTTCCTATTTTCTACCCAATTTTCAATCCAAATTTCAATTTTTGTGTAGCTCCCCGCCCTCTAGCTCGAGCTGTAATAATTCCTCCCAATTTATTGTTGCCTCCGATTTGATAGCTGATTTCAATTTTGCTGACTCATCGTTAGAAAAAATTTATCTTAGCTCGAACCTCCCGGTCCGCCTTGAAAACTTTATTTTTCAAGATTTTTGGGGTAAACCCGGTAGCTGCGTGGGCCCCGACATAGGCTATTAATCTCCGGGGTAGACACAGGGGTGGATGGGTAAAAAGCCGGGGCTCGGATGTACGGGTACGGTAGTTTGGCGGGCAGGAAACCGTTCGCCTCGGCTGTTATGATATGAGCTGTATTCGGGGAGGAGGAGGAGGACGAGGTGGAGGACGAGGCTGGTGGGGGGAAGCGCTTTTTGCGGGTACCAGCTCTCGGGGCTCCATTGTTCCATTGTTTCTTTTTCGGAAACGGTATTCGGGGTGGGCAAAGCAGCAGCCTCGTGATTGCCTGACAAAGCGTCGTCCACAGTAGCCACTCGTAGGTTGGCAGGGTGGGTGGGAGGTGGAGGGGATTTCGGGGGGGTGAAATCGGGATGATTGAGTATCGGCGGGTTTATCAGACATGATTTTGGATTGGCGAGGAATTTTGGGGGCGTTAGATTGATTGGCGGAAAGTTGCAGACGGGTTTAACTGGGGTTGTCAAGGTAGAAAACCGATTTTGGAGCTAAAAATTTTGATCTCATGGAATTTTTTCGAGTTTTCCAGTGGTCAGTAAAAACTACGACGATCTGAGCGTGTGTCGCATCGTTTTTTCGGTGCTCAATTTGATTGCCCAGCGCCTTTAATGACCCTAAAACCATTTTTTTCTGCAAATTTTTCATCAAATTCTTATTTACAGCTTCCCATTGCATCTAAAGTCTGAACCGAAAGCAGAAGCTTAAGCCTAAGCGTGTGCCTAAGCCCAAGGCTAACAAGCTTGTAAGCCGAAGCCTAAGTGTAAGGCTAATCCGAAGCCTAAGTGTAAGGCTAATCCGAAGCCTAAGCATAGGTCTGAGTCGAAGCCTAAACCTAAGGCTAAGCCTAAAACCCACCCGAAACATACCTATCCCCCTACCTCCCCTCCCCACCCCTACTCCCTCCCGGAACATCATTAGTTGCTCTCTATGATTTGGTTGACCCCCCAGCTTTTTGAGTGGCAGCTGTAGAAGAAGCCGATGAAGATGCGAAAAGAAAAAGGAGGCTAAAAACAAGGGGGCAGCTGAAGGAGGCGCCAAAGTGTGTATGTATGTATGTATGTGTGCGTCTGTCTGTCGGGGGCGCATCGGGGAATCATTCGATTACGGCACTGGAGGGTAGGGCTTCTGCCTGGCCAAGCCAAAAGCTTCTTCAACACCGCGGCGGAGGGGGCCCCCTAGGTTGGCCGGGGCAAACACAATACTTCTTCAATATTTGTTCGATGTAGTGTGTATATGCAAATTTTGTACGGTACCCTGGCTTTTTTGTTGCGTGTATCTCGTTTTTAAAGGAGTTGATCAGGCTGATTTTTTGGCAAAAACTGATCTAGTGGTTTTCTGGGCGAAAAATAATATATCAATCTGTCTTCATAATTAATAGTTCAATTTATGCAAATTTTATAGGTTAATTACGACATATATGTAGATTTGTTAATTTATCATAGTTTTTTGATTTATATGGTATCGTTTTGAGGTATCGATTGCCTTAAATTGCGACGGAAACGTAGATACCTGCTTTCTTTTGGTAAGCCTCGTTTTCTGTATCACTTTTTATGCAAATTTACAATCAATTAAATCTGAAGTTCTCTTGAATTCCCATATCGATTTTCCCTAAATTTTTTAACATCTAAATTTTACTCAATTTGAATAAAAATCCCCCATCCCGGGGGCGCCCAGGATTGGGCGAAACGCTGGTGGGTGGGGCTTTCCGGGTGCCGAAATTGGGGGAATTAGGTGTCCGGCGGCTTGATTATGCAAATTGCCCTCCCGTGTGGGGGCACACCCGCCTCCAGGCGACGTGTGTGTGTATCGGTGTAACCCATGTAATAAAATGGGGGTACCCAGATTTGGGTGTAATTGTAATATATATTGACAAACTACTGTACTTCTAGCTTTTACTCTTCCTTCTTCTATTTTTACGAAGATCTTGTAATCAGAAAATATATTATAAAATCGTAATTTGCATACCAAAATTTACCCTTGCTTTTCTAGGAGGCGGTAATGAACCCGGCATCGTTCGAGTATCCGACCTCATCTACCTCGGTGTCGGGCACCTCCGAGTTGTTCAGGTATCGATTTTTTGCAATCGATTTATTAACGATGATTAATGCAAAAACAATTTTTTCCAGCTCAACATTTGCCATCCTCTCCGACACCAACCCCTCGTACGCCGAGCAACAATGGACGCAGGAGAAGCTGCAAAGTGGGTGATACCGGATCTGCGGCATAAATGGTTTTAGGCGCCTATTACTACGAAACGCCCCAAACGGACGCGTTTTCCCAATTACAGGCTTATGATGGGACGATGGATTTGAGGTGGGCAACTTGTAAAAATTGATTTTTGCATGAAAATCTCATTTTTGAAATTTTGTTACTCGTATTGAATAATTTATTTCTTTTTCCAAATGTCTAAATCCGCCCTCTTGCTTTTAAAAAACACGTTAAACCCGTTAAAAACATGCCTTGGACTTTAAAACTCCGATTTTGTCGAGATTCTGGGCCTATCTTCCGCCTTCCGGTTACCTTTGAATATTCCGAAAATATTTTTTTGGGCGGCGTGTGTTGCATTTTCCCATTACAGATTCGATGCCTACCGAACAGCGGCCCTCCCAACCTACGACCAATATAATCCGGTCGTTTCTCTACCCGTCGTAGCTCCTCAGCTGAACCTATCCTATTTGGACCAAAGCCTTCTACGACAACCCGAGCCCCTCCACGTCTACACCCATCAACAACAGGCCGGCACGGCTTTTCAACCCGTTCACGCGCATTCAGTAAGTGGCGTAATTTTAGGGTAAAACTTAATTTATCATTTTTATTACGTTTTTTCGACTTTTATTAAGCAGTTTTTTTGTAAGCTATAAAAATCTGAGTGTCCGTTAATGTTTTGTTTTAGATAAACACGTTACCCGTGTGTTTTAGATAAACACGTTACCCGTGGTGCCATCCCCGGCAAATTCCATCACGCAACGCCCCACCTCTTCCACCTCAAATAATAGCGTCAGTGTGACACCACCGCATCACAACAATAATAACCAGGTATCGAGTTTAAAGAATTAACTATTTCTCAAAATATATTTTTTTCTTCAAATTTTGATTTAAAAAAATCGTTGCAGTCAACACCTCCTCAAAGCGAAAGCCCGCCGGATACGATACCGCTAAATGCGACTGAAATTGAAGTAGGTTCTAGGAAAATAGTGAAAATGGCGATTATCACCAATTATTTCAATAATTTAATTTAACTGTGCCTTTTTTTAAGGACGATGAAAGGGTGATGTGCATGGCGTGTCGAGGCGTTTATCCCTCAAGAAGAAGCCTAACCGGCCATATTGGGCGGAACGAGAAGTGTCGCGAAATTATTGGTATGTTTTTCTAATGTAGCCCCCTTTCTCAAGGATTTTGGACGGAGAGACGATTTATTTCATTAATTTGAAGAACTCATAAAAATGGCCAAATTCTAAAACCCTAAAAAATCGGCAAGCGGAAAAGTCCCTCCCCAAAATCCTTGGATTGAGCTTCGCTTCAGCGCATTCCCCACCCGAGCTTTTTTCGTTTCTCGCTGTTTTCCCACGCTTTATAAGGGTGCAACACTATTTTTTGCTGTTAACTGGGTATGTAAATGTTGCTTTGAATGTGTAAAAGCACTAAATTATACAAATTACCGCTCAATCGGCCGAATGCTTGAAGCGCTTGCTCAGTCCATTGTCATGTAAATTGATTTTTTGGCTGCTTGGGATTGAGAAGGAGGTGCTTTTTAAAGGGTCGTTGAAGGAAAATACCGTAAATTTCTGATATACCCTCTCAAAAAAAATTCCAAGAGAGAGAGATTTCATTTAAGAGAAAAAAATTCATAAAATGCGTTTGTATAAGCTGTATAATGAAATTCTAAAAAAAAATGTCAAACAATTTGAAACAATTTTCGCGGTTTTTAAAAATCAAAAAATTATATAAAATAGAAAATATCATCCGAAACCTTAACGAAATATAGGCTTAAGAGTTTAAATAGCTTTTTGCAATTTTTTTGGTGCTTGCCATAGTAGAGGAGACTATAGGTTTCAAAGTACAATTCTGACTTCCTGACCCCTTTAAAACGCAAAAAAATCTCAATTTTAAACCCTCAAAAAATTCGTCTAGCATTGCCGTTATAACACAAATGCTTATACCAGCCATTACGTGTTTGTCCCCGTCTAGGCTTCCACGCACACCAATGCCCCGGCCAACCGCAGCCGCCTCCGCCTCCGCCTCAGCACCAACACGTCAACAACGCTCAACAACTATCGACGACTCCAGGTCGCAACTATCTCGAACAATTGGCAACAGCTGGAAACGCGGAAGGGAGAGCTTCTGCTGTTATTCCACCTCCACCTGGGACCGAATCGGCCAAGGCGGGTGCCATTGTCAATGGGACCGATGGGTTGTCGCCGATATGCCCTTATTGCGATCGGTTTATTTCGCATTATAAGGTGGGTGTGGTTAAGGTAAAAAATTTATAGTGACGGAAATAGAATTTATAGGGACGGAAGAAGCATTAAAACGTCTGATTTTCACTATTTAGTTCCTATTCAAAACTCTCCAAACAGTGGTTTTCGCTTTTTAGATCAGCAATTTCAAATTTAGTTTTTATAAAAAATGAAACCGTGTAAAAGACTATAGGCGCAGCACTATTTTTGCCAGGCTTTCCAGGAAATGTCTTTGGAAATTTATAATTTAATTTTCATGGGCTTTTATGTAAATTCTGGCCTATTAATGCTCTCAGCTTCAGGTATCAGGTTGGAAGGTAAGTCCTGTCGCCGAGATTTTGAAAGGCTGGCTACATTCGTATATAGCTCCATTCTGCACATGCGATATGTCATTTTGTAGCTCTTGGCCTGAACCGTTTCGGGAGGTGGGTCCTAGACCGCCAAAATTAAAGAGGGCCGAGATACAGGCCCAAGAAGTTTTTCACAAAATCACCAAAAAAAGTGTTTTTGCAAGTTATCTCTGCATAGAGCAATTTGCATGCGATACCTTTAACACCAATCGATAGCTCTCAAGGAGTAGATATCGATAGATGTTGAGATCATCAAATTTGGTCGCTGGATGGCCGAGATATGGGCCGCTAAAATTTGGCCCATTTCTTAGAACTTTTCTCGAAATCCCATACATCTGGCAAGAACGAGCCAAAACTTGCCGCTCGATTTTTGAACATCACATGAGGATTTTGATAAAATGTATAGGATTTCGAGATAAGTTCTAAGAAATGGCTCAAATTTCAAGGGGCCATATCTCAGCCATCCTGTTTCCGATTTGGACGATCTCAACATCCATTGATATCTACTCCTCGCGAGCTATCGATTGGCGCTCAAGGTATCGCATGCAAATTGCTCTATGCAGAGATAACTTGCAAAAACACTTTTCCAAAATTTCGCCAAAAACTTCTCGGGCCTGTATCTCGACCCCCCTTCATTTTAGTGGCTCAGGACCTTCCTCAGGAAGAAATTTAGGTCGAGGGCTACCAAATGACATATCGCATGTCAAAAATGACGCTATCTGCGATTTTAGGCAGCTCTTCGAAATCTCGGCGACAGGACTTACCTTCCAACCTGATATATCTATTATCAGAATATTGTTATCCAAATCGTATTAGCTTCTCTAAATGTAAAAAATCACACCTAAAATGATTTGGCAAAATCTCTCTTTTTAGGGCAACATCCGCCGACACATCAACCAATGCGGCAAAACTGGAGGAAAACGACCAAAGGCACAGAAGGGTACGAAAGGTGTGTTTTGCGGTGTTTTCCTCTTCTTATTGTATGCCTGTTCTTCAATATTTCGTAGTATAACCGCTAATGTCAAATCCTGGCTGTTTGTGTGCTGTTCCTCAACCACCGCTTTTAGATGGAAAGCGGAAGCGAAGTGAAGAAAGTGTCAATCAAGACGAGTGGTCATCCCCGGAACCGCATCAAATGTGCGGCCAGATGAATATGAATATCTATGAAAGTCAGTTTATTTTATGGTTACCTAATCTCCAATTCCATTACAGTACCAATTCCGCCTGTTCCTGAGGTGATGTCCCCGCCCTTGATGATGATGACACAAGCTATGGAGATTGTTCAACCACCCCCGGTGATGAACCCGCCGCCCCAGCTTCAGCTTATCCCTCAAGTTCCTCAGCCGCCAATACAAGCCCCACCTCCGCCACAGCCTGCGATACAGTCTGTCGAAGGTGAGTTAGGTGGCTTAAAAATACGAGATACAAGCGATTACGACATTAAGCCCACCTATAGTGCGCCATTTTGCTTTACAGTACCTTTAAAAACCGGCATTTTCAGTTAAACCCACCGCCGCTGCACCATTAGTCGTTGCTGGACTGAAAAAAGAAAACGAAATCCCCGACGACCCGTACCTATGCCCATTCTGTGATTTCCTCACCGTCTACAAAGGGAACATGAAGCGCCATATGAATACGTGCCATGTTAATGAGCCGGATTGTAAAGGTATGGCGAATTCAGGAAAAATTAGTTAAACAATTTTTCCTCTAGACCATAAGCTCGACAAAATGAAAGCGTCAGTGCTTGGGGTCGACCCCGCTACTTTGATGGAAAAAATTAATGCGCATAAGGTTTGCCAGAATCGTAGAAAAATTAATAAAAATTGAATTAGGCAAATTCCACACGGGGCAGACGGCCAAAGAAGAAGGACGGTCAAGGGAACGGCGGAAATTCGCAAGGCGGAAACCAGCAACAGCATCAGACGTTGAACACGCATTTGGATCAATATCAACATCATATGGTATGGGTTTGCAATGTTGTAATTTTGTAGGTTTACTATATTGGAAAGATCATTTTTGTACCACGGTGCCTTTAATTTCAATCAAAAAAATGACAGTTACGACAACTCGAAATTTTTTTGCAGTACCAAATGAACAGCCAATACATGGGCATGCACGGGATGCGGATGGGCGGTTTGCTGGAGTACGACGAGCTCGGGTGCGTTATAGAATTCGGGTTTTAAAAAAGGTAATTATTAACCGATTTTTAGTATAGTCACTAAAATAGATTTTCTCGAAAATTGCCTAATTTAAAAATTAAATTCACAAATTTTCCGTAATATAATCTCGAATACTAGTTAATAAAAAATAACGGTTTTAAATGGGTAGTAGTTCATATAAACTTTTGCAGATGTCCGGCCGATCCGTACGTCTACCCGACGATTCCCGGCCTCGGCCACGATCCTAGCGATCCACTCCAAGCCACCATTAACCACGTTGTCGAAACGCATCGGTTATGAAATTACGATATGACCACAAACCTACCGTATCCATCGGAATACAGTACCTACCCTTCTAAATCAATCTCTAAACCGGTCCCCGTCCTCATTTTCCTTCCCATTCCCTGCTCAACCCCCCGTCGACTTTCATGTGTGACCAAAAATGCCCAGTGTTTCCGTTTGCTATATGGTGCCCTTGTATACTTCAGCCCCCAAAATCTGCAATACGCGTTTCTCCAATTTTTATCATTTCCTTAGAAGTGTCTATTAGTGTCTCGAATCAGTCCCGTATAGTGCGTTGTTTCATATAAAAGTCCGTACATAAAAATCTATATCTGTCCCCAACCGACATTCCATTTCAATGACCCCAGTGCTTCATCGATTCTATTCCGGGATATCCCCCCATTTTCCCCCCAATTTGCATACCAAAATTCTGCTCGGTTTAGGAGCCGATTCGTACCCCGACCCTCGATATTCTGATCTTCCGTTTTTCCCCTAATTTTCGACCCCCAATCCGGTGGCTACCGTAACGGATCGAACCCTTTTAAAGGTACATTAAAGGCAAATCTATAGCAACTTTCCTGATCTTAATCTACCTTTAACGGATCCAAACTTGTGCTCAACGTTAGAATCATTTGTAAATATCCCTCTCTTTAACAAAGGCAGGGCCAAGTTATTATTTGCTTTTCTGAACCTCCCCCAATCCCTGAAATTTTTTTATTTTTATATATTTAGGCTTCTCAGGCATCTCCCGCCCCTCATATTTTCTCTATTTCATCACTGAGATTTGTCATTTTTACCTTATTTCTGAAGGTCATTTTGCTTGTTAATACCGCTTGCATGAATTGTAAACTATCGTATGTGTATTTGTCATTTTTCTGCTCGTGGTGGTCAATACAAAAGACCCCGTTTAATTTTTTGCGTGCTTAGAATTCCAATTAATTTCAATTCGAAGACCCTCCCCGTTCCCGTGCTGTCTTTGAGAAGTGTGTGCGTGTGTGTTTTCTCAACTTTTTGTACCCTTGGTGAATAATGTTTTTCTTGCGAACAAATTGGAAAATAAAAAGTTGTATATTTTTATGTGGATCTGCAAAGAAGACAAAAAAAATGCAGCGCTATTTCTTCATAAATCTTATCAAGCAGAATATCTTGGGAGGCAGAATAAGCTGATTAGGCTTATAACCTCGACAGAAATCAATGAGGTCTCCATCATTTTTGCGTGAAAATGGCCAATTACCATGCCAAATTTTTCAAATCCTGAGCATACAGTACGAATTTGCGTATGTTTTTCTATCGCAAATTGTTTAATTTTTAATTTATTCTAGCAGGGCCATGCGTATCCCCTTTTATCTATGCGCAAAAAGGTAAAAATTATGTAAAAATATCCATATTTCAATCCAGAAAATTCTGGCTGCCGTAATTTGCATAAATACATTTCCTGGGATCCTTGGTTCGATTTTGCAAATTGTGAATGCTGTGGAAACAATTGCAGAGTAGGTTTCATCGAAGAATCCCAGAAAATTTCAGTCCGAAAGATAACGATGCGAGTGAAGTGTGGTTCACGATTTTCTACGCTACCATAATTTCCGTGGCGGCGTTTGGAAGTGTATTTTTTGGAATAATTGGTGTTTACGGGATTTTGAAGAAGCGTTATGATTGTGTGCTGGTTTGCTTTTTCTTTTTAGTGAGTTAGTAGAATCATTAATTTATCAATCAATCGATATTTAGATTTTCGCCCTGATTGGTGACGTCGGTGGTATCGCTTCGGCTTTAATGCAACGCGGGCCAGTATATTTCAATGTAACCCTCGAATTTATAGAGGCGATTGGTAATATTATAATTTCTATTATTGTTTATTGGCAGTTAAGGTTGATGAAGGAATGTATAAAGTGTTATTAACACAATTTTGACGCTAAAACACTCGTATTAAACACATAAACAAAGTAATCCATTCGCGGCGGCAAGGCATGGTATGCTCCATTCAGAGTAATAAATTCTAAGGTTTCACTACCATCCGGACCACGTGATGATTCAACAAATTTTGAACATGGCACGATGTTCGAACTATTACCCCTCATACTCCAAGTTTTCAGATATCAGCCCCAATTCCGGCAAGGCATTGCCAGACTTTGTCTCCCTCACTATCTGTCTCTCCCCATCTCTCTTTCTCTCTCTTTCTCTCCCTCTCTCTCGCTCTTTCTCTCTTTCTCTTTCGCCCTGCCTATTAATTCGCAAGTCCAGCTGGCTAAATAAGGCCGCGACAGCAAAAGCGCGCAAAAACCCAATGCCAGTCAATGAGGTGCCAGAAAAAGCGGGCGCTTGTTGTCTGTTTATAAGCGTTCACACCACGGGCTTTTTGTCCCATTTTACGTTTTTAATTGGCATCTTTAAGTTGGGAAATTTAGGTTCAGGAAGATGGAAGTAGCCATTCGTTTGTTGTGCTCGACTTTGGGTATTGCTATGGTTGTGTTCTCGCAGACTTGTCCGGGGTCTGGACTTCCTGGGCTTGTTTGTGAGTTTAATGACGCTACAAAGAGAGAGAGAGAGAGAGAGAGAGAGAGAGAGAGAGAGAGAGAGGGAGATAAAGAGAGAGGAAGAGAGAGAAAGAGAGGGGCTAACATTATTTTTTAGTATGTGATGCCTCTTCAAAAACCTGCACAGCAGATCCAACGTTGGGATGTGAAACCCTCAGCGATGGATCACTATATTGCTGTAATAAACCCAATTTCAATAAAAGTTGAATTTTAGGTCCGATCACTGAGACTACCACTATTGCCACCACTCCAGCCGCGACCACTCTGGTACGCAAATTATTATGTCGGCTTGGAATGTTTATAATTATGTAAAATTCCTTTAGGGTCTCTGCCAAGATCAAGCTGTCTATTGCAACATGACGTCGCTCTGCACTAGCTCCAGCTCTGATATACAGTAACAATGAAATAATCAGTACCATGATAACAACGTAAATAGGGCGCTTATGTATCAGCAGTGTCCGGTGGCATGTGGGCAGTGCAATGGACGACCGACCGGTATTAATTTAGTTTTGTTATTAATTCCGTTGATTCAGGACCAAACGCTGCTACAACAGCTTCTGGATGTGAAGATGTGTACGCGACATGCGTGGCTAACTCCGAGCTTTGTAATAATGCTAATTATACCTTGATTATGGTAGGTTTGGATTAACGGGATTAGGACAGCTTGATGTCACCTGAAGTGTGAGTACGTTAGACCTCATTGAGCACATATGCCCCTTTAAAATATCGATTTAAGCCAATCAAGTGCAAGAAGACCTGCGGCTACTGCTAAAACTGTCCAAAGGAATTTCGGACCAAATAATAATAATAATAAACAATTTATACTGCATAATTTTTGGGAATACGCTACATTACACATCACACCAATCTTCTTAAAATTCAGAGAAATTTAGAAATTTTTCTTAATGCATATTGTAGTTTCGTGAATCTTCTTTACGCTTCCAGACCTCAAAAAAACATGAAACATTCTGTGCTCATCACCGTCATCACCTCTGTTCACATCCTCCCCCCAACAGAGGATCAAAGAGAGCGAAAAGTGGATGGTTGGGACGGATTCTTGAAGAAGAAGCGGAAAAGGGGAAGTGATTGGGTGGTGGAGTGTTGTGAAAAGCCCTCAAAATGGCGGCACGCGAAGGGCCCATCGGCCAAAAAGTTGAGAGAGAGAGAGAGAGAGAGAGAGAGAAAGAGACAGAGGGAGAAAAAGATGGGGGATCGGCCATCACAATCAAGCGAATTGGGAAAGAAGATCTGATCTGATGATAGCTACGCTCAAATCAATATAGAAGAGGGCCCCACGGCTGCGCTGCAGTGCTTGGATACGGTAGGTGCAGTTTCTGAGCTTATATAATCCACAACGTGAGGCAATAAAATTTTATGATCTTGCCATTTACTTTTTCAAATAGCTAAAAAAAATTATTTATTTTTTGGCCAACCTGAATCTGATTTTTCAATTTAATTTTGCCAATTTTTATTTCATGGCGATGCCTATATTAATTTAACGCGCCTGTATTTTATTATTTTCTGTTTTCAGCGATCCTACCCGCCTAAAAATTCCAAAATTGAGGCTCCCGCCGCGCCTCCATCGGCTTTCGAGTCGCTGCAGGAGCTGATTCGGCAGCGGACTTTTTTGGAGTTCAGTCAACTCTCCATGTTTACTGCTCCAAGACCTGCGGCATCTGGTAGACGCGTAAGCCTCGAGACAAGTGAGTTTTTCAGGATAAATCGGTAAAAAATATTAGTAAAGGATATCCTGAAGAACACAGTTTTTAAAAGAGTTATGGTGTCAAAACTAATCCTTATCTAAAAGTTTCGATAAATTTGAAAACTTATATTTATGTATTATTCCCTGAATTCGATTTTTGTGCTTAAAAAACGTTCTATACACCTGACCAAACCCAGTTTTCCGGAAGTAGAATACCGCTTCTTTTCTCTACCCACATATAATCCATTCCGAAGGGATGAAGCGCGTCACTGTTCCTGTGTTCTTTCCAAAACACACACAAACATACACATTCTGTCTGTCACACCTTTCCCCCGCCACCTCTTCAATGCTCCGCGTTGAAACAATAGCCGGCGCTTGTGGCCGTAGCCACTCGAAAAGGTGAGAAGCGGCCCTTCTATCCGCGTCCGCCCCTTCCGCATCCACTCAACACTGTCGCTTTTTATCTTTTGACCCTGAAGAAGAAAAAACTAGGAATTCCTGACCCTTGGCCCTGGTTTGTGCGATTTTAGACAAGCTGGCCTATTCGCGCTCAGAAAACGATTATCTAGATATTCTATATTTGAACAAAACTATAATTACCTTATCTTAATGGCCTCGGCCCCTACCAGCGATTTCTTCTTTTGGCGCGATCGATACCTGAGATCCCGGGAAATCGATGAAAAGACGTTGAAAAAGAAAAACAAGGGCAGCTACGAGGTGAACCCATCTCCACCATCCACCAATCAATATGACTATGATTATTCCAATCGATATGGAGACTACTATGCGACTCCGGCATTTTTGGATTTTTGTGAGGGATTTTTAGTCTGTTATAAACTTTGCAAGTCCAAAAAAAGGATGCACAAAATTTGCTTTTAAAAACAAAAAGGTATTTAAAGCTCTAATTCCCGTCAAACAAGCTATTAAATTTTTTAGATGGATCCGTGGGAGGTCCCGTCTCAGTCCCACCACCAGTCCCCTCACATTGCCGTCCAATGCACCCACCACCAATTAACAATCGCAAATCCCCGATCCAAGCCATCAAAGCCAGGTCGAAATTTAATTCGGGTTTAAATCAATTTAAATTGATTTAGACGAGATCTGGCGTGGGTGGTTGTGGTGATACAAACAATTGTTATTGTAGCGCTATCACTTTTATTTTTTACTTATGTCCTCCATACAACTCAGACCGTAAGTTGGATGGTCTTGGAATTCAATCGGGATTTAGAACGTGGAAGATGAGGCGCCGAGTGAGACGAATCGAACCCCATTGACTATGCGGTAACCTTTTATATAATTTCTGTAATCGTAACTTTTTAAACATTATTATGACTTTTTACAGACAATTGGTATATTTTAGAAAACATCCACGAAATGGACATGCGACCGGTAGTTGGGAAGACCCCTTGGTAAGCCTCATTTTTCAGGAAATATTTTATTATCTTTTATAGGCGCAGTAATACTTCTGCACACAAAAATCCTAATTTAGAACAAAAACGAGCTCGAGCTACAAGGGAATACAATAGACGACACGACGCCAGGCATCAATTCAATTACGGTATAAAACTGAATATTCACCCCTCTTTATCTGCTAATTTTTTAGTCAGCTGAGCGTGCCGGGTACAAAAGCGCTGTCGTGGTCTCGAACGACAAGAGATGTTCCGATATTGGAAAGTAATTCCAGGTCACTGTGCCTACCAATATTTGCATTCAGTTCGATTTTGGTGCGAGGTGGGAATGCAGCGGATGCAGCGATAGCTACCCTGTTTTGCTTGGGTGTCACTCAGCCACAGGTACTTACAGGAAACCACACATTTTTTATAATTTTTTTTTTTGAACTTTCGGTTTAATTTGTATTTATTAAAGTATGCAGTATAAAATACTGAGTTAAATTTTTAGGCTAGCGGCTTGGGAGGCGGGCTGCTGGGATTATTTTGTGAGAAAGCTGGTCGGTGCACCGAAATCAATGCGAGGTTAGTGTTATTTAGCTATATAAATTTTAAAGGGCGACCAGGTAAGGCTGATTCTATACTAACTTCAATATTATCTAGTAATAAAAATAAAAAATATAAAAGTCTTTTAGAGAGACCGCACCATCCTCTGCGACAAAAGACATGTTTGTCGGGAATCCGAAAGACTCGTCAGAGGGTTGGAAATTTTGAATGTTGATACTTTATACTTAGTACACTAAAAACACATTAATTTAGGTTACCGTTCAATTGCTGTCCCCGGAGAATTAAGCGGAATGTGGCGAATTTACGAAAGATTCGGAAGCCGGCGAGTCACATGGCATGATATCGTATGGCCATCTGTAGAGTTGGCTCGGAAAGGAGTAAGTTTTCTTTCGAAAATTGCGTTTCACGAGTTTAGATTCGAGTCGGTACCGAATTGGCTGCAGCTTTAACCATGAAAAAGCGATCATTGCTTGAGGACGAGGGAATGAGGTTTATCAACCTCGCTTAAATATATAAATTTGTATATTCTAGAGCTTTATTGGTAAATCCCAGAACCGCCGATCTATATAAGGAAGGCGAAACGATGAATCGAGATCGATTGGCCGAGACGCTTTTGCAGGTTTGATACAAATTAAGAGCAAAACAAATTTGACTCCATTTTTTAGCTGGCAGAAGCCGAGGACCCGACAAGTATTTTTTACAAAGAAGATATGGCCGATCAGCTGATAAAAGAAATCAGAAAAGGAGGTGAGTTCTGGAGGATGACAAGAGTAAACCATTTAATTCAGGAGCTATCTTGACAAAATTAGACTTGGAAGACTACGAGACAGTCTTATCGCCAGCGCTTTGTTCTACTTTTCATCCTACTGTATCGCTATGCGGTCCGAGGCCTCCGTCTTCGTTTTTGATTACGCAGTTGATAGTGGCGCTGGTGACAGGTAAAGCAAAGTTGAATTATAGTATTTAATTTACGTTTTCAACGAAATCAAAGCCAAATTAGCGTATCTAAAAAATTATAACGCCTTCTTTTAGCCCTCTACCCTGCTAACTTCTCCGACGAGGACCTAAAAACAGTCCAGTTCACCCATCGACTCATCGAAGCGTCGAAATTTGCATTTGCCCAAAAAGTGGCCCTGGGCGACCCGGCTTTCACAACGAATTCGGATTATATGGTAATATCTCTATTGTAATTGAATTGAATTGTTCAAGATCAACATCATGCTCAACTCTTCTTACATCGATTATCTGGCGAAGAAAATCCCCGAATCCACAAAAGATTTCAAATATTATGGAATCCCGCACGTTCAGGTTCTAATAAGAATCCTAATAAGATGTTGCGTAATTTCACGTTTTTAGAAATCAGATCACGGTACATCACATGTATCCATTATTGATGAGTTTGGAAATGCGATTGCAATTTCATCCAGTATAAATACACCGTAAGAATCTCTTAATTGTGTATGTATTTTATCTAGATTCGGGTCGTTACGTGCGTCGAAGTATGGATTTATCTACAACTCCCAGATGGACGCGTTTTCGACACCTAATTTGCCTAGTGAATTTGGGTTCCCACCGGCTGGTATGAATATTGACTTCGGAGCTGCTAATTTCATTCTAGAAACAAACTTTATTCAACCTGGAAAGTGCCCGATGAGCAGTTTAAGCCCGGTGGTTGCGCTGAATCGGCAGAATGGGCAGGTGGGGATGAAAACCTTTGGTAACTCTCAGATTTTAGGCAATACTATCGGCAGGAGGTGTGGGTGGTACTCGGATAGTTCCGGCTATGGCTTCATTGCTTATAAGAAGCTTGTTCTTTGAGCGTCCTCTAGCTGAGAGTGCGGCTCAGAAGATTGTGTTCAGTCAATATATACCGGATAATGCGTTTTTTGAGAATGGCTTTGATCGGGTGAGTCGGAGCTTTTTGAGGGGCAGAGCCCAGGATTTCCGTATTTTTAAAGGGATAGGGCAGCCTAATCGGTAAAGACGCGATCAGTCACAGCGTTTAAAAATTTAAATACGTCGGATGGGGCCGAGGTTTTTAAAGGGATGATGACAGCAGCGGTTTTGAAGTTTTTAGGTGGTACCTGCTTAAAACGGTAGCGCTAATGCAAGACAGTGTTTTGAAATAATTTTAAAGTGATGGTGACAAACAATCAAAAAGATTATCTTGTACCTTCAATAACTAATCCCTCTGTCGTATCCAGTTCCCATTACAGGACCTTCTCCACGACCTTGCCCAACGTGGGCACGAGGTTCGAGCCCTCACCGACGAAAAATTCGCAACGTTCGGAGCGTCGCGTAGCGCCTGGGGCGGCTTCCAAACCACCAACGACCCCCGATCAACCGATGGTGGAGTGGCTGGCTATTAATTTATTTACAAAACTCGATAAATATTATTTATTTCTCAATTTCCGGGGGATTTGATTGCACGCTATGTTTCTTTGGTGTATTTCGTCTATGGTGAGTCAAAGGAGGCTGACGATATTTGCGGAAACCCCCCGCACTTTGATAAGCCATAAATGAGTCACGGCGGGGAACGGTTCGATGCGGCGTTCTTGGATCGAGGCTTGTATTGAGTTTCGCTAGTTTCAATTTCTAGGAATTTTTGAAGAATTTTCTGCAAGGATGCTGAAGCCGGAGGAAGTGGTAGGACTTTACCAAATGTTCATTTTTTCCAGTTTAATTCGCAAAAACGAACAGCTATTGCTAATCCTTTGAACAGTTCGCTTAAACCTAACGGAAAAATTAATTTAGCCTAACGACCCTCCGCCTCCATATACGCCGCGAGTTGCGTCTACTACTGGTATGGAGGCGGGTATGAATGCAGGTATGTAGATCAAGATCAAGGACAACGCTTTAACGCCTTAATTTGCATATCGCATATTTAATAATATTTACAGGAATTAACGTACACACGGGCACAGTTGGAGGTGACGTTGGTTGCTGTTGTTTTGGCTGTGGTAATTTTTTAATTTTCGATTTTTCACATAACCGAGTACTTTTATCCTACTATATATAAAAAAATAGTTTCTGTGTGTGTGTGGACACTTTGCATAAAATCCCGGGTTCCAGCCATAACTCGAGGGGAAGAGGGCTTTATGGTTCAGAAGTAAAGTGGTTAGAGGTAATCGAGGGCGTAGATTACTGCGCACTTATCAGATTTTTACTAAAATGACGTTTTATACCTTATTTTAGCGATTTAAAAACATATGGAGATAGACTAATTTGCATACGGCTATTAATTCGGCTAATTTTGGGCTTTGCGGGGTTCCGAGTCGGTTGTTCAAGTAATTGCTGTGGTGCCTTTCCCTAACGTAATTCGTAATATTAATGCAAATTATAATATGCAGTTCCCGTGTATCAAAGGGACCCGCAGAGAGGCCAGGGTTGAAAAGTCGCGAAGCGGCTTTTCAACCCTGGTAGTAATATTATTTTGGTATCATATTAATGCTATAAAAATTTTTAAAATGTTGGTTTGCGTATTTCACTTTGGGAGTAATAGTAGCAAATGAGGTTAATGTTTATATATAAGGCCGGGCGCGCTATTTTTAAGTTTTCCGATGGCGACATTTTTTAAAGATTACCGCTCGGCAACCCTATGTCCCAGCTATCGTCGCCGGGCCGACCATTGCGAAAAAATAACTATTAAAATTTATACAACTAAATTAAACCTTCGCCATTCCCTCTTAATCCACTCCATTTAGCACTTGGCATTTGTATCGACGCCTGCCTACCCCAACAACCCCCAGGTCGAAAAAAGTGCTACATAATCTTCTTGCTCCTCCTCCTGGTTATGTTCTGTTTTGTGATCGTGGGCGTGATTTTGTTAATTGACGGTGCAAAATAAAGCCGATGTGTGGTGTGGGAAAGCAAAGGTGCTGTACAAAATTGCTGCGGGTCAGTTCCGGACAGCGGGGCTATTATCGGGGGGGTGAGGGTGGACGGTCTGGGGCACTTTGAATTTTATTTGGTTGGGGATGGACAAAAAAATAATGGGGCAGACGTGCTGCCGTGGATTGGGAGGGGTATCCCCATTTTGTCCACGGAAGTGTTGGACAATTTTGTGGTTGGGTTGGAGTTTTTATTCTTTAACGGGAACTTAAGTTTGAACGCTGATTTTTTTTAACAACTCAGCTAACTGCAAAAATCACCAAAATGCGAATGAATCCAAAGATCGCATCTTGCTCTCCCAGTTTCTTTTAAAAACTTGGTGCGACTCGCAAGATCTGAAAAATTTCGATAAACTCCGTTATACCGTGATAATAGAGTGTGCCTGCAGATCTAAACACAATGAATATGCTTAGAAAAATTCTAATGATTACAAAACATTCGTATCACCTTTCAAATGCCGTAAATTCCTGCCATGCCGTAAAAAATAAATTCTAATCATAAAATTCCAGTATCAGTGATTTTCTGGTTGCAGGTATTCGTTTTCTACCTTTCGATAATTTTAAACTTCGAATCGATAAAAAAGGCTGTGCAATACAGTGGCTTTATCCTACCTTTCGTGTAACTTTAAAAACCCTAAACTACTATGAAAATTAATAAAATTAGCATAGAGGCAAGATAATCTGCGCTCCCGCCGGGTACTTTTAGGAGTATGGTTCAATTTTAAGAATGACACGTCCTTTGATAAATTCTATTGTCGAAATTTCATTTTGTTGAAATCTCATGTTGTCAAAATACCAGTTTGTCAAAACATCATTTTTTTCAAAAACATCATTTTGTCGAAATTTTTTTGTCGGTATTTTACTGTCCTGACATTACGTTTTCCCAAATCTTTGAGATCAATAATCGAGGCAAGAAAGGCTGTGCAATTTCAACAAACTGAAATCTCGACAACATGATTTTCGATAAATTCATTTTCGGCAAAATGAAATATCGATAAAACAATTTCCTTTAGAAAGATGGTTGCACGCTAAAATCCAAGCAAATTGCAACCCCGGCTAGGTTCAAAGTCCCCTCTAATCCGTTTGTCACAATGGTGTTAAATTTTTCTATTTACCCGTGGCGATTGTGGCCACAGTCCGACACCAAATCGCCTCGGCACCCCCACACACAACCCGAAAAGCTGTGACAGCTTTGCCATAGGAATTTGAAAGAGGTGGGGGAGTAAATTGTTAGGGTAGGTTGGGGGGTAGGTGGTGTCTTTACGGGGGGTGGCCGGGGTTTGCCATCGGCTGCTTGTAGCAAACAATCGGAATGTGGGGGTGGGGGTGCGGATTAGGGAACAGTCCGCTAAAGCGTGCCCCCTCCTCTTTTTGTAGGTCCAACACAACTATGGGGGCTGAACGGGGGTGGGGTTGTAGATGATGATGGTTGGCCACAGAACGTCTACAGCCAGTCGACGACCCGGCCACAAAATTTTCTGGAGGCTTTTTCTAAAATTATTCTGATGTCATTGTTCCTTTAAAGGGGACGTTGGGGATTATTTTATGTTTTTTTTTTGGTTTCTGTAAATTTTTACTCACAAGAATTCTGTGTTTAGCTAGTTTTTGCTAATAATCCTGAATCATTAGCTCCGTGATTGCACCTATGGCTCATTAAAAATTTGAATGGTAATGTCGATTTCTGTCGTCTCCATCTTTTTTGCCACAACGGTTTCCTTAATGGTAAAATTAGCATTTTTGAGGGTTTTGATTTTTGTCAATCTTCATTTATGGAAATTTTGACTCGAGGATCATATTACTGACTTGCAGGTTCCTTTAATGCGCAGGTAACTTTAGAATCTTTGAAATTTAACTACAATTTTATCACGACAGGATACCTCATCAAAGCCTAAAAAATTAAATTATACGTAATTTTCTCATATTTACATTTTTCTTGATGTTACGAATTTTCTTGATCAATTGGGCATAAATTTAAATGTGAGGATTTTTCGACGTTTCTGAATCTTCCTTTTGTATCCGAATGTGCTTTCCAAAACCCTTGATATGCCAAGGGCTCCAAAATCATTTAATTTTTTATTAACGATTTTGATTCCGTGCCTAAGTATATATTTTAGACTTCACAACCCTTTAACCCCCCGAGTCCCCTGGCCTCATTCACTTTCAACCCCTCATCCATTTCCGGGTTTCCCCGATACGTCCATACCCAAACCGCTGTTGATCTGCCGATTTTTCCATGAGCCACCCCGCACCAAGAATCTCTCATTTTTTGTGTGATTTTGATAGCAGCGACCCCACCCCCGCCTCGACGTTCTCCCCCATCAATCATCCCCGCCGTTAGTGCGTTGGCGGTGGGAAGGGGTTGACGCACTTATTGCGCATGTGCACGACGAGTTTAGGTAGTGTAGTGTAGTCGAGTGTAAAATGCCTGTCGGGGAATTTGTTATGAGCGTCATTAGAACTGGGATCGGGTATAAAGAGAAAAATCACATCTTGCGGAGCAATTTTCCTCGACTCCTAATTTAATATTTGTTAAAATACATAGTTTGCGATCAATACTGTAGACTAGGTATTGCTCTATTTTAAACTTTGTGTTGCTCTCAAATCTATTTTCTACCACTATGCAAAAAAATTAAAATTATACAACGTATATATGGTACCTAAACTCAGTAGAACGGAATTCTATTTTCTGTATAATTTGCTAATCTCTCCAAAAAATATTCCTCTTTAGATTTTTCAATTTGCATAATTAACATAAAAGTCATAAAATACTCATCTGATTGTAAAATAAAAAATGTAAAAAGATTTTTATTTAGATATTTCCCAGCAAGCGGACACGGAAAGACATATCGATATGCTTTTTCATTCAAAATCCTTTTAAAATCAATCATCGACCGATTCTTTTCAAAACTACAGTACCCCAGGGTTAACTAAACGATATATTTCCACCACCGTACTTATCCCAGCCGTACCATCAATCAACCAGTGTTGCTGCTCAACTTTTTTGAGGGGAGCTCCAACCGTTAGTTGGGGGGGGGGGCGGTCGGCCCATTTGCTCACAGCAGAAATCGCCAGTTCAAACATGCACCGATCAACCCATATTTGCTCCACAGACTCGGCCGGGGGGTGAACCACAACCCCTTTTTATGAATAGGCAGAGAGGGGGAATTTTGAGGTATCTTGGGGTAGACCTTTAAAAAACAGGAGTGGACATGGGGGAAGAAATCAGACGACTTCAGAGATCACTTCACACTTCGGTAAGACATTACGTTACCCCTGCGCCAGCCGCGAGTCACCTAAGTTTTTTTGCTATAACTTTTTTATATGACACTATTTTGAGCTGTAAATAAAACTCTTGGCATATTTTTTGAAGCTCTATCGAATGGTGGAGCAAAAATCCCGACGAAATAGCGAAAATGTCCAACAAATTTCTAGGGTGTCGGTTTTCTTGAAACAATTTGAAACTTCAAAAACTTTTCTGGCCTGTTTTCAAACTTACTGTATTGTTAAGATTTTTATAGGCAATTAGTGGGAATTTTCAAATTTAATAAAGTGAATTTCGAAAACTCCAAGCTTCCGGTTTTTTAGGAAACATCAAAAATCCCAAAACGCTAAAATTTCCTGTCCTGTTTTCAACCTCCGGTTTGTCAATAACAACAAAATGATCTTGATACTCTTCCGTTTACGTTGTGCAACAAATAACAATGATGATAGGGGGGGGGGTGTTGATCTGTGAGTAATCGGGGGTGGTGGTCGTGATCCGGAAAGGTTGATCAAAGCTGATTGGCAAATGCGGGTGATGAGGGGCAAGTCTGACGGGGTTGCGGGTCAAAAATAGTGTGATACATTTTAGTCGGAGATGCGAAACGTCATCTATAATTGAACGTCGTAATTATGATTTAACGGCTTTGCGAAATTTTTTAGAATTTTTTCGTTAGTCCAAAATAGCAAGCGTAAAAATAGGTTAAAACGTTTTAGAGACCGACTACAGTATATCGTAACAGTCGTTTCATTATTTCCGTAATACCCCACTATGTATTTTCTAGAAAAAAATACAAAACACTCCAAAATACACCAAATCCGGTAGTCGATTTGTACTTTCTACCCTGGAATTCCCACCGGCATCACTTTCCGAAATCCAGGGAAATCCAGGGCCCAGATCTCAAGTTATTTTTGAGAGGCGGAGGAGTACAACCTAGACGCGTGAAACGTTGATAAGTGTAGATGAGAGATGTGTCCCCCATTCACATGCACAGTCACGCTCAATTCCCCTTGCCCCTGCCACTTTTCCATATCTGTTTTTGGCAAAAAGTGAGGAAAATTTTTGAGGGAAGTATGGGGGGAATTGGATCGAGACCGACACCATTCCCGTTGCGCGCAAAAAGTTTTCACTGCCAGTTATTAGAGAGGAAAATTTTTGACTTTGATCTGACTGCGTATTATGTAGTTTTGTGAGGCTTCATGTTGTTTTTATGAAATCATTCTATCTTAATCGATTCTACTAAATTCCATCCATTCGATTTTTTTCGGGGCAATCTGGTGGCTACAAAAGTTTAGGTCAAAGGTGAGCCCACAGTCTTTTTTTTTGAGAAAGGGGTGTTTGAATGTAGAGATTTTTGATTTTTATCCAGTTATTATTATACATTTTCTTAGAGTGTTTACAAAGAATAATTTTTTTTCTTGCTGGTTACTGTATTTGAAGCGACACTATCGTAGTCTCGTGATCTTTTGATAAAAGCCAACCGTTTTGCGCAATTTTTCGGATCAAATTCCAAAGCTGAAGCTGCAGATGCTGATGTGTCTGTCTATTTGCCTGCATATCTGTCTATCTATCCATCTATCTGCTATCGTTCGCTAAACAGTGATCGATGGCCGACCCATGATCATTCTCTCATTCGCCGAATCGGCCTCCTCCACCCCACCGCCCCCTCCATTCTGGGGTACGGTAGCCCGAGCGCGAGTTTTAGAATTGGGCGAAAATAGAGCGCTGGTCCAAAGACGTCAGTTCGATATTATAAGCCACGAGGCGTCGGGGCGTTCCAGTGGTTTCGGCAGTCTAAGTCCGATTGTTTTGATTCCTCATTTGCTGTGTCTTATTTTGACTATTCTTTTCTTAAGTCTATCTACATATATCTTCTTTATTATATACTCTTTTACTTTTACATAAAATATCTTTAATATATTCAGATGAGCTTCACCTCACTCTCAATCGATGAAATGATGCCTGGATCATCGGACAATTTGCCGCTTCTCAACCGAAGACCATCGAACTGGATGGAGCAGAATATGTAAGAAAAATTTTTGGAATTACTATAATTATTTAAATTTTAGATATAGCCCCGCAAACATCAACAACAAGCAGGATTTTGAGATGGCCAAGGCACAGTTGAAGGCTTCATCAAGGACTTCCGGGTTGTTGTCTGGATTTGCTATGGTAAGTCAAATAATTATGAAGTGCAAAAGAAGCCTACATTTCCATTACGGTATTATATGTATATCCTTTCAGATCGCGCTGGTCGAGCTACAATACCAAAAAGAGACACCAGCATACTTGCTAATAATCCTTGGAGTGGTGACTACACTACTTGTCTCGGTCCATCTAATCGCCCTGATGATGTCTACCTGCATTCGGCCATTTATTGACGCCTACAGTGCCGCTGACGATTTCCCGCATCGCCGATTCCGGTAAGAGTCTTTACTCTCCTTTTCAAAAGCATTGTGAAAACCATAAACCAAATTTTTTTCTAGCTTTTTCATCGACCTCTCATGGCTAATCTCAACCTGGATTGGGCTGCTGCTCTTCCTCCTCGAGATCGGCATCATCCTCATTGTGAAATTTGACTCGGTCAAAAACTACACGGCTGGATACTTTACGACTGCGTTGTTAGGTAACGATCGTACTCACGATTTTTAAATTCAATAATTACAGTACCCGTATTGGCCGTATTCTTCTGGATGGCTTGGAAAATCCAACAAGTCAAGGCCCAATACGCACGGGAGCGACGATTAAAGGTAAATTTTAAATAAAAAATTATAGAATTTTGATAATTATAGCAACATTCCCACGGCAACTACCACAAAAACAAGACGATGGTCACGATTCGACATGTCTAAACAAGAATGATACTACCAATTGTCCCCTATTTGATTTTTACGTGTAGCCAGGCTTTATATCGTATATCCAGGCTATTTGTGTGAAATGTCTGTAAATACGATTTTTTATGTGACGGGTATTAGTTGAAAAAATAAAGATCAATAATCATCTATAAAAAATTACATAATATTCTAGACATTCGAATCCAATACCAGAGTCTTAAGGATTTCTTCACAGGCCTAAAATAATTTTTTGCATTTTTTCGGGAATTTAAAAGCTTTATGTTAAGTGTGAAGCTATAAATTCCCGGCTTTGACGTGTATAGGAGGCAGCAAATCCGCTATCAGCCCCTGTTTTACAGCCCTGGTAACGCCCTGATAGCTGGAGCCCAGAATTTATGGGGGGCGCCCATTTTTCGGTGGCATCTTGTGATGACCGGAAATTAATTCTATACGGTATCCGGATTGATGATTTTTTATTTCATGGTTTTTCATGATTTTTTGTAATACTATTTTGGTTTGGGTTTTTGTTTCTTTTCTTCAAAGTATGTTAGGGCTGTAAGAAATACTATTTAAAAACCGTTTTCAACATTTCTTTGATTTTTTATAAGATGCGGCTGTTGGTCATAGCCGCCTTCGGGCTGTTTGCCATAAGTCTCGCTCAGAGTATCAGCATCTCTACTGAACCAACAAGTGAGGAAAAGAATGACGGTTGTTTATGGAGTTTTTAGGTACGCCTGTGACATCCACCACCACGGATGCAGGTGGTAAGTCTCTATAAAGTAGATACCGGCATTTTACCGTACTTGGACTCTTTAGTGAACTATAACTACCTTAAACCTTAAAAAATTCCAGCTGGATCGTCTCAGGGAAGCTCGACAGCATCGACAGATGCGTCAAGCCCGAAGGGCCGAAGCGAAAGTATTCGTCTACAAGTTCTGTGTAGCTATCGGGTTTTTAGGCACTGTCACGGGCGAATCGTCGACTTCAGCACTAAGTACCCCTGCAAACACAGGTGGCAGCAATTTCTTCTATAATGACTACCATCTTGTTTTCAGGATCGACTGCAACCCCAGGCTCAACGATTACCGGAGCTTCGACGACAGCTGGACCTTCGACCGCATCTGTATCCCCGCATAGTGCAGGGCCAAGTACATCCCCTGTAACTCAAGCATCTGAAAGTACCACTACCGCCGAACCTCCTGCATCAACCTCATCTCGTAAGATACAAATCTTTACCACAACTTCAATTTAGCCATACCCCTCTCTACAACGCCATACCCAGTGACGGTACTAAAGAAAGGCATTGACATGAGCTGCTCAGCCGGACGTTGCAGATATGTTTTAAAGGTTTTTTTCTTAAAAATATTTTAAACAGGTTTTTTTCGCTTAGGTGCCTGTATTGAGCAAAGGATTCCTGGATACGCAACAAGGATTGATCGATGAGGACAGGTATTCCACAAAAAAAATAAATAATCGTATCGGCTTTAAGGAAGCAGCTAGCTACCGACGAAACGAAACTGGCCACCATTGAACAAAAAAACAATTTCCAAACTCTACAGGATCAATTCGACACATTGAAGGAAGACGTTGATGGTGCATTAGCGTACGTTTTTTTTCAGGGAAATTAACTTCGAATCTAGTGATCTTGCAAAACTCCAAGCAGCCCTAGCAAGGATGAAAGACAACAATGCCAAAATCAAGAACAGCATCACTGATGCGCAACGTATTATTGGCTTCTTTAGCAATGACCAGGACAACTGTCTATATAAAGAGTGTCTCATTCGTGAGTTCTCAATAATTGGAGTTAATTTTTGATATTTTTAGCCCAATCGACAACCATCAGTGAGTTTTCTGAATCGATATATCGAAGAAGGGATTGTGTCCCTAACGTTTTTTGGAACTATTGGAACATTGGTAAAATAAAATTCAGTCACAACAACTCCCGAACCTCCCTCATCAACCGCTGACCCCTGCACTGCCGACTCCTGTAATGGATTTGCCACCTGCAGTGTGAGATTAAGTTTTATTCAATGCTTATCTGAGGGTATATAGAACAAGGGTGGCCAAGCTACTTGCGGCACATGCATTGGCAACCTTGACAACTCCTTGAACTGCGCGACAAGTTTGTCCTTGCCTCTCATTTTTCACCAGCAATTAGAAAAGCTAACATAAGCTGAAAAACAATTCTAGGTGTTTGCACCCCTGTCGGTCAATCGATCGTGCAGGATCTTGCTCCTGATGGTGCCTTATTCTTGTCGCCTGGGTGGTATATTAATGGCACTGCGGGGGTTGCGTATGACACCACCACGAAATGTGAATGGAAATTCAGGCGCAGTGGCAAAACTATCGATATTCCGGTAAGTTATCAGCAGATTGTTGCCACGTTCTATTTTCGCAAGCTGTAACAAGGTACAGACAACTGTATTTAGGATACAACAGTGGACCCGCCGCTTCAAACGATGGATGACGGCGCAATAATTAGCTTTGATAACGGGGTTTCCGTTAAGTACGCAGATTTCGTACCTTTTTCGCACACCTTGAGTAACAGCTGAACTTGATATTTCAGCACCGCCAATAATAAACTGAAGAGGTCGAAACTGCTAAGTGCGCTCAACACCAACAAGGACAACATTCTGACCATCACTTTCAGTCCAGGAAAGCAAGCTTGCAGCACTCCACCGGTAAGCAGAAAACATAAACATCAAACCGCAAGAAATAGTGTTTCCCAGTTCGCCGCAATTTAATTAATCTTTCAGTGCCACTTCTACTTGAACTTGACCTTGACTTGATATACGACCCACCGATTGCGAATAAATCTGTTGACATTTCACTGCGAAATTTATTTTTGGCTAGCCAAGAATTTTCGATATGTGCAACTCCTCAGTTTATACGGTTCTCTAAAATATTTGCGACAGTTCTTGGAGCCCGTTCCTTGATATGCCGCGGATAGGTCACCACAAGGTGACCAGGCCACAGCTGGTACTCATTTGCGCCTCTCAATTTTTGGGGGTCCGGTAGTCGGCGTCTATATTTGCATCCAATGACCACATGTGGGCCTCTCTGCATAATCTCTAAAACAGTCGAGGAAGGCTTCCAGAGCCCAAGCAAGTGAAAAAACTGCCACGGGAAAATAAAACGAAACTCAACTAAAAGTAAACTACAAATAAAAGGTAAAAACTTTTCGAACAAGCTGTTCTTTGAAAATGGCGCCAATTATGTTTCCTTGGGCTATGAATGCAGATTTCAAATGATCCGATAACGAGCTGACACACCATCGTATACACAACGCATTAATGATAACGTCCAACTACTACTTTTAAACGCTAGTTCATGCCAAATTATCGTGCGTTTTTTAACGAGCAGTTTTAAAATATTAACAATTTATTCATCATTGTTGAGAGGATTGTTTGAATTAATTACAGGTAAGGATTCGATTTTTGTAAAATATCAGTTTTTGCGCATCTTCTCGAGGTAGTCACCAGGGACGACGGGGATCCTCTTGAGGCATTCGGAGATGGTGATCGACTGCTCCGTCTGCTGAGCCGACGACATCATCATGGCAAAGCTCTGAAAATAGTGGCTATTATTTAAATTGCTTCGTTTTAATCATGTTAGATGGGATCTTGTACTGGAGCACTTACGGCGCTCTATTACAAACTTAAAAAATATACCAGAAAAGCGATGGCGAGGACGAGCAGAGTGACGACCCAAGCGCTGGTGGCGCTCTCCCTGGCCATGACGGTCATCTTCGACTGGGACTTACTAGAATTAATTTGAATCTATGATCATTAAAAAGGAATTACCGGTTGTGCTGCTTGGGGAGACGCTCAAAGTCGGACATTGTAGGCTCGTGCTCGGAGTCTTAGAGGGCGCTCTAAAAAAAGAACATTTTTATTCAGAGCAAATAACAAATTCTTCAATTTGACAATAATAGCAGTATTGGAGTATTAAATATTAAAAGTAAAATATTACAATTTATTAAGATTAAGTAAAGCTGCGGTTAGGATTTTTATCACTAGTCGAGCCGGCATAGAAATTCGATGACACGATAAAGACTTCAGTTTTAAGGGAAAATCTTTGGGTTGTTAAGTTTAAAACTATAGTACTCGAGTCCCTTAATTAAAAAAACCCAGGCTAATACGAAAGTAAATGGTAGCCGAGCGTGTGGACCAGCAAAAGTGCCAAAAACAAGCGGCTGGCGATCGGGGGCGGCGCGACCGTTTTGAATACACGGTGCCGAGCACTAGATCGAGCACCGGGTGGAGACACAGTTTATGAGGTCAGATTATAGCCAATGAGGAGAGGGCCCAGAAAGTCGCTCATCCTCTTTGGGATGCTTTTGACGGGGCGCCACGCGGGGAAACACATTTGCGTACATGAGCCGTTTCGTGGTGGTAAAAGGGCAACATTGATTGAAAGGGTAGATCAAGGGGTAGGCGACCTCATGGAAAGGACTGGAGCATGAGTAGGGTTTTAGCGAGCTGCCAGGGGGGCTGAAAATAATGGGAAAAGGTTGCTCAAGTATTTCCGGATTGATGCCAATAGCAACACGTAAGTGGCCATTTAAGAACTAATTTTGTAATGCTCTCTTTCTCTCTAGCTCTCTCTCGCTCTCTCTCCCTCTCTCTCTTGCTCTCTCTCTATCTCTCTCTTGCTCTTTCTCTCCTTCCCTCTCACACGTTCTCTCTCCCTCTCACTCTCTTTCCTTCCCTCTCACTCTCTCTCTCCCTCTCACTCTCTCTCCTTCCCTGAACTCTGTCTTGCTCTCTCTCTCTTGCTCTCTCTCCTTCCCACCCACTCTCTCTCACTCTCGCTCCTTCCCTCTCACTCTCTCTTGCTCTCTCTCCTTCCCTCTCGCTCTCTCCTCCTTCCCTCTCACTCTCTCTTGCTCTCTCTCTTCTCTCTCACTCTCTCCTTCCCTCTCATTCTCTTGCTCTCTGTCTCGATCTCTATCTTGCTCTCTCTCCTTCCCTCTCACTCCCTCTCTCTCACTCTTTCTTGTTCTCTCTCCCTCCCTCTCACTCTCTCTGTTTTGCTCTCTCTCTTTCTCCTTCCCTCTCACTCTCTCCCTCCCTCTCACTCTCTCTCTTTTGCTCTCTCTCTTTCTCCTTCCCTCTCACTCTCTCCCTCCCTCTCACTCTCTCTCTCCTTCCCTTTCACTCTCGCTCTATCTCTCTTTCTCTTGCTCTCTCTCACTCTCTCACTCTCTCTCACTCTCTCTCACTCTCTCGCTCTCTCTCTCCCTCACACTCTCTCTCTCCTTCCCTCTCACTCTCTCTTTTGCTCTCTCTCCTTCCCTCTCACTCTCTCTCTCTTGCTCTCTCTCTCTCTCTCTCTCTCTCTCTCTCTCTCTCTTTGACTTCCCCGACTTTTCGCGCAAGTCGACCTGCATTGAAAAAGTTCCGTTAAAAATGAAAATCTAAGAAATCCGGAATCTAGGCTCTAATCGCCTTCCTCTTAGGTTATTTAAAATATGCAAATAACTTTCGAATCTACAGTTGGCCATTTCCGCTGCATATTTTTCGGTTCTATTTGCACACTGCCAATCTCAAGTGTGCCCAAACCTTCAATGGGCCTTTCATCGATTTTCTGAAACAGCCCAATTTTTGAGTTTAAACATTTATATTTTAGAACATCTTTCCGCATTGAAAGTTTGCTGTGAATCCTTTTTTTGTCGGCCTTTGAAAGCGGGGCACTTTCTTTGTGGGATGCCAGCTGTTCGGAAATGGGGGAAAAACGAAGAAAAAGGGGAAATGGAGGGGCGGATATGTGTGTGTTTCCGGGGCACACGTCTCTATTTTGGCGCTCAAATTCGATTATTCATTGGGATTTGAGGCAATATATCGCCAAATTACGCAGGTTTACTTAGGAAACCGATTTATGGACCTTTCAATTATTTTTGGGATATCTGCCGGTCGGCAGTTTTTCCTAGATTTTGATATCTTGGATTTTCACTTGCCGGTGCCTTTAACGCTCTAAAAACTTGTTTTTGGCGGAGAAGGGTTTCTTTTCCACACAACCTTCGGGTTTTGCGATTTTACAGAGCACTAGGGATCCATAATTTTTTAGTTCTTACTACCTTTAAAATTGGAATAAAAAATAGAATTTTTAGCTAAATCCTAAAACAGGCATTTCAAAAATTTAATAAATATTTTTTTCCAACTAGAAGACAGTAACTTGCAAGCCTCTGAAAAAATTATTTAAAAATCAGCTAGTCATTTAATGTACGTACTTATACTGATGCTTTTGGACCTGATTAGATCGTTTCCAAAATCCCTCAATTTTGGCTTCCAGGCTCCTTTAATACCAATATCCACCCTCGCAATCAATATCTCCCATCTTATCGACCTACTCCCGGCAAAGACAAAAGCCATTTGAAGAGGCTGGGATTTTGACTGTGGCCCTTTGAGGAGGATGAGCAGCATCGAGGGCCTCAAGGCGAAGAGAAAGACTTTACACATCCCCCTCCCCGACCCAACAACACACACCAACCCCCAACCTCCATGCTCCCCCTCATCCGCCTCTTTGAGTTCGAGCTTTTGGCTCCACCCCTTTGGCTTTTCCCTGCTATTCCTCAAAACTTGAAGCTGATTTTATCGATTTGATCTGGTGTCGATAGGTGGATTTTCAGTTTAAAGGGACTGGGAAGTCGGTAGGGGTAACTTAGGTCGGCCTTTTAGACTAATAATCCTGATATTCTCGATTTTTCGATATGCACCACTTTATTCTGATATTTTATCGACAAAGTTCTAATTTTGCCGTTATCATATCTACATCTTAATTTTTTTTGTCGCTTTAATCCTCTGAATTTTAGTTTGCGCTAAATCTTAATACTAGTGATTAATTTTTTATAACCGAATTTCAAGGCAAAATGGGCCGTTTCGTGACGGAATCACAATGGGTTCCATGGTACCGTCGCCATGCCCCGCCCGCATTTTGCTTCCCGTGTCTCCCAGCCTACATGGGTGTGTGGAAGGCCAGGTAAAAATTTGATTTGAGTTTTTCATAGTAATATAATTACAATAAACATTTAGTCTGTGATAAATTTAATTTTAGGAAAGGAATCCTATTCGCCGGTGTGCTCTGCTTTTGTCTGGGAGCTATGTTGATTTTCGCGTCACTGTTGGTTTGCGTGGCGGTGGAATGTGGTGGGCTGTAAGTTAAAAATAATACTTACAACATTATTAATACATTAAGTGGTGCGATTCTATTCCCGATTGGGCTGCTGCTGCTTATTGTTGGTATCCTGTTGATTCACTGCGGATGGGCGGCACATCTTCTGGACGATCAGGGGCATATGCCAGTGAAGTGAGTTTTTTAAGGTTATGCTTAATTTTATCGACTTATTTTTATACTGATTTACACATAAAATGAATTGTATAGAAAAACGATCGTCACCACAACGACGACCTACCACAGCGAGTCTGACCCTACAGAAGATGATGAGAGGGAACTGGGTGATGCATACAAGCCACCGTTGCCAGAGGTTTGTGCATTAAGGGAACAATTATGGCCATAGAATCTAATAACAAATATAAAAAATTACTATAGTTTAATGCAATTTTTATATAATACAGGTTCGACAAGGATTCTGGCAATTTGATGAGGAAAAGAGCTGGCAAGCCGCCTCTAATCCCTACCCAATCCAGTAAGTATCTATTAATGCATAGTTAATAGGAAATTAAGTATTGTTAGTGTTATTAATATTTAAGTTATTTAAGATATTAAGCCTATCAGGCACCCATTTTGAATTTCTAAACTTAAATCCAAATTTTTCAGAAGCACCCTAAAATACTGTCTCGATCGGCCACCCTATTAAACCACACCTCCCTCTCCCGCCTTGGTATGCTGGTGCTCACTCCTCACTGCCATTTGATAAATTAACAATTTATCGATTTGTATAAATGCAATAAAATTCTCGACCCGTAGTGATTATTGCAAAACAGGAATTGTTGAAAATCAATTTTTCGAGGTTATTGTTATTGCCCAAATATATTGGGGTCTATGGCAAATGGCGGGGAAGTGGCTATTGACGGGGTCACATCAATCTCGATTCTAAAAATATCTTTGTTACCGTTTTAATTCGAGATTCGAGTGATTCGACTCACCGATTTTCTTCCGCTCCGTGAGGGTCTCGCAGGACGATGATTTGTTTTTCGGCTTTGTCTTGCTAAAGAGAGGCAATTAAATTTTTATAAATTGCTAAGAGAAGAAACCTGTTGCTTCATAGCATCAGCAAATTCATCAAAAGTTCCGGGTTTAAATCGGCAGAGTCGGAGGAATGGTCGAGAATCACAAATGGACCATCGGGAATAGGAGAGTTGGTCGCGGAGGATCGTATTTAGCTGGAACTTTACCCCTGTATTCATATTTTTTGTTTTTGTTCAAATATCTTAAATTTGCGTAAAGTACGTTAAAGTACAAAATACGATTAATACTCACTGACGGCTGGCAGAGCTTGGAGTCGGGCTCAACTTCGCACAGCTTCGTTCGCATCGATTTGGGGAGGAGCTGGGCGCGGCTGGAGGGTTCTACTATCTAATTTTGGAGATGTTTTAGCAAGGATGCGAAATCGACATTACCCAAATGATAGCAAATAGTAGGAGCACCAATTCGCGCATCGTTCTGGAAAAATGGGGGTACGGTAGGAATGGAAATTAGGAAAATACGTAAAAAATGAAAGATATAGAAATTCGAGAGGTACTTTAAAGAGGTGATAGAAGGTATTAGAACAGGATTAGTTTTCTAATTTTGACAAGAACAAGAGAAAAACCTAAATTCCAATCTTAAAAATCTAGGGCTTTAGTAGTTGGAGCTTTTTTAAATTTTAGGGTCTTTCTCTTGAATTTACCATTTTTTTAGCACAATAAAAAATCCAGTCCTAGCTTAAAAATAATTCAGCTTGAAATTGGGATATTGAGAAGCTATGGTTGGTGTAGAATCAAGGGTAGGATCAAGGGGTGGCCGAAGGCCCAGGGCGGACCCCCCAAAAAGTGGTGTCCGGTCTCAATCGGATATCCAGCAGCAAATATTAGCACAAGAAAAGTGACGCATGGACGGGGGGAGGGCCGTTAGGGGGGATGGCCCACCGCCGAGACAATCGTTCATTCGGGTGGCTGATGCCATTAAATAGGAGAGCAGAATTTTAAGGGAAATGTTACGCCTCCGCGGAAAGTCGACCCGGAGTTCCGGTGAAACTGAGAGGAGCAGGATTAAAGTGAAAAATATCCTAAAGAGGCTAGAACGTAAATTTAGACGTTTATCGTATGGGAGGTAGTAAATTTTCTTAATCTAACAATGGCGTTTTCCAGGTACTGGACTGTTAGCAGGGGTGGGGGGGGGGTTGGTAGGGGGAAAACTAATTTTTGTTTTTACGCCTAAAACCACCTGTATTTTTATCCTGTACCGTCTTATGTATAGGAAGGTACAGGATTACTGGGGAAAAACAGTTTCCCTTAGTTAAGCCCCCCCCCGCTAACAGACCATTACCGTTTTATCAGGAACAGTATGAAACACGAAAAAATGTTAGAACGTTTAAACTGTTTTGGTCTTAAGCTAAAAACTACCATATTTCAAGGAATTTACCTCAGATACACAATGGAATTTAATGAAGCATCCCAAGAATTAAGTACAAGGCTTAAAAATAACCGTGATGCTGCGATACCTTTGCAAAATCCCCCCAGACCAAGCACTACCAAAATTGAGGCGACACCTCCTTCGGCGTTCGCTTTTATAACCCCAGGAAACAGGTTAAGGCACACGGCAAGGCTGGCAGTTGCGGGGCGGAGGAAAAACCAAAAAAGTATCCATATCCTCACCCTTTTCGTTGACCAGTGGAAAAAAGAGAGAGGGGAGGAAGGGGAACATTCAGAACTGGTACTATAACGGACAGACACGGACCGCCGCAGTATAGTCGACATATAGCATTGCAGCCAGCTACCCGTCCGTCAAGTCCACCTACCCCACAGACGGCTTTCTCTTGTTATTCGTAGATAGGGAAAAGTGTTGTAGAGGAGGAGGGGTGGTTATTTTATCAGAAGATTTTTCGTTTGCGGTTTTGCTTACCGAATAAAACGGAAAGGACGGTGAATGATCATTTTTCGAAAGCACCATGCTGCAAAGAGTACTTTTTCGAAAAACGATTTCGAAAATCGTGCCGTGCTAGAAATTAGAATTCAAATAATTTGCATCGCCGTCTGTGGCCATTTCCTATTAGCCGTTAAACGTTAAACGTAAGATTTTCGCAATTCTGCTTTCGAGAAGACGATTCTCCGAACAAATGAGTCTCGAAAACGTTACTTTCCGAAAGGCGATTTTCCCAAAATTGCATCAAAATCGGGCAATCCATTATTATCTAAAATATGGCTTTTTGAAAATACGATTTTCGAAAAAGTGATCGCCGACCCTTTGACGCGGCCAAACTAAATCTACTAAATGCGGTAATCAAACCTAGATCTTTTTTTCTTCACATATTTGCCTTCAACGTCGCTTTAAACCTAAAATATTGGTATTCATGTCGATTATTAACGCATGGTTGCAAATCGTACACGCAACAAAACGGCGTGTACGGAAGATCAAGTGCCATCGAGATGGGCAGCGGCTGGCTGCTGTTCTGTGCGTTTGTTTGCGTTCCCGGGATACGAACGGATACGGGCTGACAGGATGCCAACCAAGAATCTGCACCATTTATGATCGCTGTAAATTGCTGATCGAAAATTAGGGGGAAGTAGCGACGTTTTACTACAAGATTTTTAAAAACACCGAATACAAAAATTTAAACTAGGCTCGATTGTTTCGAAATTTTAATTACATAATTTGAATTCGAGATTTTGGGCTTCGTAGTCTTGGATTGCAGGAGTTTGACATTTGCGATTTTCGAATTGTGATTAAGGTATTAAAGCGGAAAATATATTTTTGATCCACAAGTTAAAATCCCGCAAAAAAATCGAAGTAATAGACACAAAATCCACCTCAACGAATTTCTGAGACTGAAAGAATATATGTTCCGGGTAGGAGAGTGTGAAGAATGATGGTCGGATGGTGGGGAGGATTGTCGTCCGGTGCGGCTTGTTTGGCCCCGCTTTTTGCGCGCATTTCGCCGGGTCCGATCCGGTGAAATCAGGAAATCGAAGAGGGTGGCCCTGGGAAATGTGGTGCCGCGCGTTTTCTGTGTTCCTTTAAATAACTAATTTTGTGATTTTTCGTTATTAGAATACAATTTATTCAGGCTTTAGAATGTAGAGATCATAATTGGCCCAGGCAATTAGTCTATCCGTAGCAGTTCCGGTATCACTTTTCAATTAATATCCTCGTCCAGCATATAATTTTTACACATATACGTAAATTCGTCATAGTCGATCAGACCGTTGCCATCAACGTCGGCCTAAAAGGTTTAAGTTTATTAATTATAATAACTATACCTCCAAAAATATTTCATCTTGAATCGTCGAGTCGGTGATGTCCCCGAGCTCGCGAAGAATATATTGGAAATCTTTTTTGGAGATTACCCCGGATTCAGACTAAAATGTCGATTTTTAATTTTTGTCTGACTACTTACGCGATCAAAAACGGAGAAGCACTCCTTGATGACACTGTTCCAGCTCTTTTTCCCTAAAAACATAAGCTTAGAATTTTAGCGCGCTTCAAACCTGTCATAAAGGCGTCTCATGACATCACAAAACTCGTCAAAGTCTATTTCGTGATTACCACGTTGATCTACCTGCAATAATGCTCCATTAGCTTCAAGGTCTCGCCAAATACAGACTCACCTCATCAATTATTCGATCCAATTCCTCCCTTGTCTGCTCTAGTCCTAGATTCCTCATAGCCGCTTCAAGCTCCTCTAGTCCGATAGCTCCAGAACGATCTGAAAATTTTCATAGGTAAATGTGAATTGAGAATGTGAAAGTATTTTTAACGTTAACACTAACCTGTATCAAACATGTTGAAGACTTGTCGATATTCGGCAAGCTCTTCTTCGGTGTAGCTAAAAAAGATAAAAAATTATCTTTTAAGATAAAGTTGTATTAGATTAAATTTAGTTTCGTATTAAATACACCCAACGTACCCTTCAAGTTTTGAATTCAGGAGCGGCGAATGTGGAGCGGCATTTGAATGGTGATCACGGTCAGAGTGAAGTTTCAGCTAAAAAGTGAGAATAACAAAAACGTTTCAAATTTCCTTTAGCTATACTCCGGCATATTCTGTGTTTTGCTAATGCTCATATATCGTTTACTAGTTTTAATATAATTTTCATAATACTTTAATCGTCAACCGCGAGTTCGTCAGCCGCTTAAATCTAGCCGATCCCTGCCCGGAGCTCGTAATAGATGCATTCCGGAAGCTAGACGTCGCATAGCGGTGCATTTCGAGGTGTATGTAGTAATAAAGAGGAAGTGGAACGCCAGTCAACGGCCTCAAAAAACCCCAAAATGTGCGGTTGATTGGGTCCTCGGCTGGGTGGGTAAATTTTTGGGCGGGTGAGAAAAAGGGGGGGGGGTAGGTATATAGGAATGGAATGGGATGGAAAAATAGAGTAAAAAGAGGAGTGGAAAGGGGCGAATAAGGGTGGAATGCAATTCCCGGGTTGCCTGGCAAGACAAATTAGTCAGATGGGGGGAAGAGGGGAGGTGAAGCCCTTATTTCTTCGGGATTTTGTGGGTTATTGGATGGGGTTGGTTCCTCAGATGTTGGATTTTTGGGTTTGTCTACTGCCCTGAATTTGATTTAATTTATAAATTGTGTATTATCAAAGGTATTTGAAAAGTACTTTTAAGACTAAACACAGTGCATGGAATTTGAACTTTTTTTGAGAAAACGACTAGAAACTGGCAAAAATGCGCTGGAATTATAAGAGCGGTCACTAATAGAAGCCCTGAATTAAAACTTCTTCAATTCCCGGGTTTTAAAGGTACCGGTAAGGCAGAATCTGTAGGATTTTGGCGAAACCCCTATAAAAATCGTATTATCTAATGTAATTGTATAATCATAATTATCCTGAAACTCTGAGAAACCCTATTAGAGCGCCAATAATCTTTTAAATGTTTCTAAAAAGCGTAAACGCCTAATAAGGGCTATAAAATCAATCATGAAAAGGATAAATCTACAGGCTTGCAATCAAAACTTTTTAAAAAATGTTTGGAGGTGATTTTTGCCTTTGTCGTCCCTTTAAAACCACCATAAACCAATTACCATCCTCCAAAAACCAACCGGCGCAAACGAAGCTTTTCGCGTAAATTTCCTCCTTGGCGGCTCCAAAAGCTTGCGTAACGATACAGACCGTGGGCTAGCCATCGTGCTGCCAGGATTTTTGTGCCGGAATGGCTTTTCGTGTGTAGGCTTCTACTTGGCATTCCTGCTGTACCACCCCCCAACAACCAGACTCTCGGGTCTCCCAGATATTCCGGGGCATTCTCCCGGGGTACCCAGCTAATAACTGCTAATGGGAAATGGGAATGTGTGTCTACACCAGGCGAGATTTCCGTTTTCTCGTCAGCTGTCAACAATTAAATTTTGGAATGGTTAAAGGGGTGTGTAATAAAGAGATTTAGGGGTCTATAGAGGATGCTAATTGGAAGCCGATTAATGGTAGAAAACTCAACTTGGAGCTAACCGAAAGAATTTAAACCGAGGAGAGAGCTTCAGAGAAATAGATAGATAGCGAGAGAGAAAGAGAGAGAGAGAGAGAGAGAGAGAGAAAGAGAGAGAGAGAGTGAGAGAGAGACAGAGAGCGACAGAGAGAGAGAAAGACCGAGAGAGAGCGAGACAGAGATAGCGGGAGCGAGATAGCGAGTGAGAGTGGGAGAAACATATAGATAGATAACGAGATCGAGAGAGATAGCGAGTGAGAGAGAGAGGAGATGGAGATCGTTGAGTGGGCTAATGCCGCGATGTTAAAGAAAAATTTTTTAAAGAAAAACTAGTTTTTAAGGGGCTCTTGAAGTCAGATAACCTCTTTAAAGGGCTGCCGACGGCATGTGTCGATCCCCCCCATCAACAAATTGGCAAGTAGCCAACAGGGCAGAGAGTGCGCCCTGGGGAGAGGCGCAGAGACAATTTCTTTCCAGCGCGTAACCAATTGACTATGCCGTCGGCATCCCTTTAAGGAAACCTATCCATACTTTGTTCTCAAAAACGTTGTTCTTCGAATTGATCTTCAGCAACTTTTTTATCGAATGCTGCCGCTTAAGAGAATTCGGAGTCCCAGCCGACAGTTGTAGATCAGCCACCATTTTGCCTTGAAAGCGGAAAATTTAAAAAACGCATATAGAAATTTCGGAAATCAAGAAAAATTCGAGAAATTTGAAAAGCGAATATAACTCAGTAGATCTGGTGAACTCAGGCCAGGATATGACTTAACCACAAATCCTCCTCGCCGACAAAACAAAAATGGATATAACGATTTCCTTTGTTTGTATGGGGGAATGTGAAGGTCTTGTGACGACGAGCCATGACAGGCCTTTCCCCCTGGCTGGTGGCATAAATGATTCAGGCGACAAACGATTCTCCTTTTTCGCTGGACTACGGGGCACACCCTGTTGACGGGGGGACAGGCTACCGATATATTTCAAGGGGAAGGGGATGTATTCAAGGAATCGTGTCAACAAGTTTTTCTAATTTTAGGGGGATGTTTGGAAAGGTATGCTTTAAAGGGATGCGGTTTATGAGCTTTCGCGAGCGGCGCGCAACGCGTCCCAGATTTTCATAAAGTGTCGCGGGTTAAAAAATCCATAACCTTGCTTATTAAATGGATCGCTAAACGACAACTTTTAGAAACTTTAGGCTTATAGTAAAATTGGAGATATTAGATTAAGAGACTAAGGATAAAGCAGCCGTGTGACGGGGCGGTTAAGCGACATTTTTTCCAAGAGGTGATTTTTCGAAAGAATTTGCGAAAAGTCATCCCTTCGGAAATAATTTTTGAGAAAACCGGCAATTCTATTTCTTATGCTATTAGCACCTAGCTCATAGTTTTCGAAGCTCTGAGATTCAAAAAACTTTTCAAGTCGTCTCGGAAATATATAATTTCGATATAACAAATTTTCGAAAAGTATATAGAAATCGCCAGGGCGTAATCCAACGCAGTGTGGGAACGAGCTCTGCCCGGAGTTCGATAGGTTTTGCAGCTGCCCGGTTGTCTGGTCGGTGGGCCCAGCCAGCCCGAGTCAGTCAGTCAGTTCTCAAGGGTCGCGTTTTTGCATCGCTTTTGCCCCCCACCGGAATTTATTCGCCTGCCTAGTTACCAGGGGCACCGAATGTCCATGTACAACCCGAAACGACGGACAAAATTCAAAGGTTCTGGATTGCTACAAATTATTCTGGCTTGCTGTCGGCTTTTCGGGAAGATTGCACATTTGCAGGTGGCAAATTAGGCGCAAATATAAATTTTTACGCTGCCACGAGAGCTTCCAGCCTTTCCAGAGCTTGTAAAAAATGATTTTAGGCAGTTTTAACAGTAATTTTTCAAAAAATCATTTGAGTCCTAAATATCTTGTCTTTTGAATAGTCCTAAAAGTTGCCTAAGTCGTCTAATAATTTTATTAATTTTAGTAAATTAATAAACTAAATACCACAAACCTTAATCGCCTCAATCATGCCACCCTTCGGCTGTTTCCCCTCCGTCGATTTGTGTCGCACCATCGGATTTTTGCTCCCCCGAGCGCTCAGCGACATCCTCCTGCAATTATATTTTTATGCAAATCACTTATTTTTCAAAATTCCGTGACATTAGTGTTGTTATTTTGAATTATTTTTAATATTTACTAAAAGCTAGATAGTTTGCTTGAATTTTAAATCCGATTAACTGATGACAGGTTAATTTAATTAGTATGCAAATTGGATAAAGCCTTAAGAATAAAAGTCACTTCGTGACAATACACTTTTTCTTTTCACTTATGCTAATTAACATGGTATTTTTGTTTCGTCTCTTTATGCTTATGCACTCATCTACAAACATAACGATACGACGACTTGAGTTTCTCTAGAAGATATTGAACAACCCTTACCTGTTTTAACGCTTAAACTCTAGCCATAAAGCGAATACTGCTATTTGGTAAGAATATCGACAACAATACCTTTTCTGGGATGCCGGATTTGCTTATTTTCCGAGACAAAACCCCCGCGAAAGAGGGGCTTAATTCGGGGGTACCGCCCCGCGAAATCGATAGGGATTCACCTGGGATGAAAGGGATGATTACAAAAGGTATCCTACTATTTTGGACCTGTAAAACGTAATGTAACGCATTCTATACGTCAAAATAAGACTTGCTAGTCTTTGAATGGGGGGTTTTTGAATCGAATTCTTGGGCAGACACAAAGGGACCCAGGAATGGGCAGCGTTGAGTTAGGGGGAAAGACCTCCAGCTGAGTGGCCCAGGGGCTTAATTTTAAGGCGCAGTGAAGACAATGGATGGGTTTTCTAGGAAAAATAGTTTTGAAAAACTTCGAAGCTTCTAGGATCTGTATTTGATAAATTAAGCAAAAACACTAGAAGCTTCGTAAAGTCGTGAATTTTAAGGTTGAACTTCAAAACCTAACGCTGGACTTACTCCTTGCAAATGCCATTCCGTCGCCGCGAGCCCTATATAGTGAAAACATCCACCGGAAACCTCCGTTTTATATAGGGGCTTGATTAGCTAGGATTAGCAAAGGGTTCTCTCTAGGGAATCCGCGTCTGGGAATCGGGGCGGGGGGGGGGCTTTGGAGCGGTAAAGCCCTTAATGAGCGAAGGCCACAGAAATAAAATAAAAATATTTGATTATTTATTGAGCAATTAACAGTATTTGAAAGGAAACCGGGTTTCGAGAAATCTTGAAAAATGTTTGTCAGATTTTTTTAGAAATGGGGACTATGGTAACGGGTGCAACAAAAATGGCGCAAAATTGCGGATCTAAAATGCTTAAAAAACCTAAATAATTCCGAAATTTTGGTTTTTAGCGATAAGTGTTCACACTGAATTTTAAAAATTCACGCGAATAAATGGGTAATTTACGAATCAAATAAAAATCCTATCCCCAATCCACTACCTTCCCGCATTCGGTACAATCAAAAATGACGTCTCCTGTTCATCCATCGTATTCCTCCGATCGCCACCACCGTAACCGCCAAATGATGCCTCACGAGTATAAGCTCGTCTCAAATACGGCATTCTCCACCGAAAATCAACCCCGAGAACCCCGGCAAACAGCAGCAGAATATAGAGAAGGTTGGACGACAATTAGAATTTGTGGAAGGCGCGGAAGCCTCGAGCCTTTTGGGCGATGCCAAGAATGCCCAACCAGTCAAAGGATTTCTCAAAAAATGCGGAAAGAGGAAAGGAAAGGCTTTTGAGGAAATAAACGGCCCACTGCGACTTCGCTTCCTTCCGAAAAGCAGGAAAAAGTGGGAGAACATGAAAGGAGGAAAAGGCAAACCGGTGCTTATAGGAATGTAAACAATCGGAATGGGAAATTTGGCCTTAGGAGTTTATTTGGAATGCAAGAGCGGACGGGGAGCATTTTTTCCAAAGTCAGGATTTCGAAAAAATGCATCGTTTAAATTCCCGGTCGATTGCAAGGCGCAATCTTTTGAAAAATTAAATTTTGTAAATATTCTTAAATGCATGAAAAGATACAAATCGTCGTTATTAAAACAATTAAACAATCGGAATCCAAAATTTCTCTTAAAAACCTTATTCTGAAGACAACAACCAATGAAGTTCGTCTTTCTTCCCCCAAAGACTTGCCTTCACAACCCATAATCCGGTTATTCAAAAGCCTCAGCCCAAAAAAAGTAATTGGCTCTGGAAAAAAGAAGAATTCACAAACAGAACTTGGACCCCCCGACCCAAACCCGCAAAACAGGTGCAATATAAATTGCCAAAAATACCCACTTACCCCAACAATTTCAGGAACCTCCCGATCACCGCAACCCACCCCAGTTTCCCAGAATTATGGCCATTTTGAGCCCCAGAGTTGGGCGCCAAAAATTTAGCAACAATTCGCACGAAAATTATTGAAACTGGTTTTTTGCAAGGGGTTGGTTAGATGCCTGAAGAAATCCGGAAAAAACCCTGAAAATTACCTCTCGATCATTTCTGCAAATGAATGCGGCGCGAGTAGATTCATTTCTGTCATAGGTGGTTGGTGTGGAAGGGAATGGCAATCTGAAGATGGATATCGTAAACAATATAAAAATGTAATGAAAACGGACAGCAAGATTCGGTGGGGAAGAATGGAGGAGAATCAATAAAATGAGGGGTTGCCGACAAGCTGGCAGTGTTGAAGGGGGCGATTTTTTTCCGCTAGAATACACTTTTAGAGGTGGGCTGAAGGCGTGGAATGTTGTAGGGTTTATTAAAGGTAATGTTATAGGAAATAGATGGAAATAGGGAGCTCTGTACTCAAAATGGACCTATGGATTGGAGTAGCAGTGGGGGCTTTCGGTGATTAGCTCCTCCCTCCGGCTGGAGAGATTATATGGGCTTCACTGAGGCATCAGCTAATTACTATGTACTCTGGGGGTGGTGAAAAATCAAAATAGATAAATATAAAGGTGAATTCTACTTTTAGCTTCATTTAAAAAAGCAGAATTAAAAATTTATTTACCTCTGGAATGGCACCAAAATCGAGCTCAAACTCACATAAATTAATATAAATGTGGCAAGAATACGATTATTCGGCCTGAACAGGCTATCTAGAGCTATTTAAATTCCCCTAAATTTACATAGAGTTGTCTTACATGACCTAAACGATCTATTAAAATTGTAAACTTCTCGAAAATTCGGCAAAAATTTAATCAAAGCCCCATTTTTGCACTCAATAGCCCTTCCGGCCGTGGGTCCCACAGCGAACGGATGTTCGACTAAAGCCGACTATAAATTCGAGGCTGAAAGGAGCAGTGGGAGGCCCGAAAAAAACGCGAAGGGTTTGCGGGCCGGCAAAAAGGAAATGAGGGGACGAGACTAAAACGATTCTGTCTGGAGCCGGGTAAATCGAGTGCAGAAAGGCGGATTGAGTTTAGTTAAGTGCCAGAATTTAGCTTGAGGTTATTTTTAGGGTATTTCAACGTCATAGCAAAGCTTCACTACGTAGAAATAAGCACAGATAAATGCGGAAAAGAACACAAAATAGTTGCTGCGTGCTCCCCCCGGTTAACAGTCCAATCCCATCAACAGCCCACCAACGAATTAAACCCAAATGACGAAAACAAGGAACCCCAAAATAGCGCCCTCATTAGTTTGAGGGGGTAGCCTGACAACTCAATCCCCCAAAAGAGGTCTATTTGGAGGGTATAGAGAAAAGAGTTGGGGGCCCACTTTAGTATGCATCTACTTCAGCCGACCCAACAAAGAATCGGCAATTTGAGCCGCATTGGATGGGGGGAATAGCTGCTCGATCTCGTGAGGAGGGGGGGAGGGGAGCATGACTTCCGAAGGAAATGAGGCGCCCGGATTGACTTGGAAACGATTGGGGTCTTGAGACTATTACGCTAGTATGTTTGTAGTTTGGGATCATGGCTTCCAACGTCTAAAAAAATCGAGATAAATCGTCGATTTACACAAAATTGCGCATTTCAATCATGATGTATAAGAAAGACCCGGAAAATCAAAATAAAATATAGATTTTATATGTATTTTATCATACAGAAATTCTAACATTTTTAAAGGGGCAAAAACCTCTCAAATTTTATCTACACCAGGCACCCAATAAAGAAGTCAAATCGGCCCTTCAACCATTTTTCTTCAATGCCCAGCTCCAATCTGGGCCAATTCACAGCGGATTGGAAGGGCCCCCTAAGGGCCCTAAGGGCCCCTAGGGCCCGGAGGAACCCTGCGAAATATTCAATCGTCTGCCCCTGGGGGCTCTATTTACCCACGGCATCGTATTACTCGTCAGTGCGAGTGCTGCGCCTCACCTATGCTTTTCTTTTCAAGCCTGGGAGTTTGATGGCACGGTCTCTTTAAAAAAAGTTGTTTTATGATGATTACACAACAAAAAATTCGTAGTGCTTCAAGAGGGTAGTAAAAAGGCTACCAAGGAGGGTTATTTTCCTGTTTTACGAAGTTTAATTCAAGTGTTTATAACCAAAAAAGCCGCGAAAACGACGAAATTTTCTGATAATCACGTTTTAATTTCAAGTTGCCCCTCAAAAATTTGCAAATTTTTTAAGGAACGTGTAAAGTAAAAAAATTATCGGTAACGTATAAAAATTTTTAATTTGAGAGCTTTAAATGGCAAAAAACCCACGAACTGAGCTTTCTTCTCCTCATCGCCAAACACATCTTTTTTCGACACACCTTGTGTATGGTATCGGTTTGTAACTTTCCCAGATCCTATTTTCCGATCTCCACCTCCCCAAAACTAAATCAGAGTAGGCGGCGCGGGCGAGGATAATCGGAGCTCCTCCTCTGCTCCTCCTCCTCGTTCCTCTTTCCGATTCCGTTTCACTCGTTTGTGCCTTTTCGCGCACAACAGAGAGAGGAGAGAGCGAGAGAAAAAGAGTGTGGCTTCTTCTTCTTCCCCCCTATGGTTTGTCCCTTGGGGGCCGCAGTGGTGGGCCCTTGGACTAGCCCAGGGCCCATGGGGGCCCCCCTCACATCGATTCGTGTGCCTGGTTTTGAAGAAAAGGCACAACTCGTCCATGAAACAACCTTATCGGCAAACGTTTATGCGTAATTTATAGTGCAAAATACT